CTGCCAAATACATCAATTCATAATGGAAGGAGGATTTGAGCCCAGGTCTCTCTGACCCCCCAATTCCTCTACTCTCTACTATACCAGAGCACCTTAGGCAGCCTTCATTTTCCTCCCTTCCATTCTCTTTCTTTCTCCTCCCTTGTCTCTCTCTATCCATGTTCAGACTCTAAGAGTAGGCAGCAGAAGAAAGAAAGGGTAAGGTGCAGTGAGATTCACACCAGGGTTAAGTGCCACACTCTCTGAGTAACTAACATCTTAGGGAAACAAGGCCAGCAGTAGGATACATTTTAAGTGACTATTTTTGTACCTTTCTTTCTTGTTTTCTTTTCACCAGATATTGTGTTCAAGTCCCAATTTCCCCTGTTACTAGCTGTATACTTGGCAAGGTGGTTACCCACTCAGGCTCCATGTGCTCATCTGTAAAATGAGAGTGATGATTCCTACATCTATGAGTTGTTGTGAAGTTTGAATGAGATAATAATGTATGCAAAAATACTTTGAAAACCATAGGGCACACTCCAGCAATGTGATGAATTATTCATGCTTCTACTCAGGGTCAAAAAGGAAGTATGGCCATGCTGACTGTGGCTCTGACAACCGCCAGGTGCTTTCAAGGCTTTTCAGCGAAGTGTGGGTTTCAAACAAATGGGAAATCTAATAGACCGCTCTCCGCAGTTGGCTGCATTTCCAGCCAGCACAGATATGATTATAATTAGAGTTTTAGGAGTCTGTTTCACATCAAAAGGATTCCTTGGCCCAGTCTGCAGTCTACCTGAGGTATGTGGCCAGATGTGATCCCTGTGGCAGGTGTTTTTATTCAGGCCCATTTGCTTCTTTTCCTGTGCTACCAGGAGTGTCTGTTTCTATTACACTCATTATTTTCAGATACCAGGTGAGAAGAGATTTTCCATATGTGAGATTTGAGATGGAGGCCACTGAGCAAAATGCATAGCTCTCGCCCCCTTTCCTCACTTCCTAAATGAACAGCAACTCAGACAAATTCACTTTAGCAGAGCCAGGCCTTTTATTAGCAGCCAGAGAATAGTCTGTAATGGAAGGAATTACTCTGCCCATGCATCTCTTCCAGGAAAAACATTCGTTAGCCTGTCAAGGAAGTGAAACCTCTTATTAGAAACTGTAGAAAAGTCAATCTCTCCATTTTTGCTGCTAAAGGATTCAGAACATATCTCACTGCACACCTGAAATTAACAATTCAACTGGAAGGGGAGTTGAGCCCACTGGTGACAGGCGGGGATGGCCGAGTGAGCGGGACTCCACATCAAAGCTGAGCCCAACCTGGGTGTTCACAATTTCAAACCCGATTATGGCCTTTTCTGCGGGGTCCTTTTGATCATCATAACTCTTGACTGGGCAAAGTGATGATAGTGGTAAGACTCACTCAGTGAACAGAGACAGGTAATTTTTTTTTTTTGCTTCTTTTTAACTATCTAATGATTTTCCAATTTTATCCAGCAATGCTGAGAAGCCACAACTGTCATAAGAGTCCTTGATGGGACTTCTCTGAGTAAAACTCAGAAGAAAAGCCCATATGTGTAAGTACAAAGAAGCAGGTTGGCTTCAAGCTGCCCCATTTGCTTTGAATTTATCCTGCTAAGCCATGGATTAAAACAAATGTGAATGCTGGAGCTGAATTTTCAGGGAAAGGAAACAGTATCCAAAATTTATTATCACTGGGGTCACTAGGAGTGGAGACACCTCAAGGTCAAATTCCAAGGAAAGGTCACCTTATACCCTACCATGACCCACTACTCCTGCTGCACCAAACTATTGTTGGCTTTAAATTCTTGCATCTCATCAACTCTGTTATGCCATTGATTGCAAGAATATTATTTTAGGTATCAATGAGAAAGAAAGGTTTCTGCTAATTAAAGTGAGAAACATATGGAGAAATATACCAGGCGGTTTCAGGCCACCAAGTCTTGTGTCTCTCTTGGGAGTGCTTCTTCTCCCACCTGCTCTGCTATGGTCTCTCCAAAATTACATCTCCCCTAGCTTTTGACTGGTATTTACCATCCAGTTCATGAGATTTTTGAAAGTTATTTTGAGCTTCCTATGAACAAAGATCATATTCTATTCATTTAGAGGCCCATCAAAGCCATGGGAAGACACAATACTCCAGCATTTCTGCCCCTTCTGCCATGTGAGGACGCAGCAGGAAGTGTCATCCATGAAGAACAGAGCAAGCTCTCACCAGACACAAAATCGGCTGGTGCCTTGATTTTAAATTCCCCAGCCTCCAAAACTGTGAGAAATAAATTTCTATTATTAGAAATTACCCAGTCCCAGGTATTTTGTTATAGCTGCATGAAGAGATTAACATGCAACCCAGTCCACTATATTCTTCATTCATTGTGAACAGCAGCACATCATGACCATTTGCTACAGAAGCTGCTATTTAGCACTAGAGAGGGCACTGGTTGTTTCCACCAGAATGAGGAGTGGAGACATGTCCACAAGTTGAGACTGGAACAGAGAGGAAGCAACTTGGGTGAGATAACTGAGCTGGGAAGCAACTAAACGTGCATCCATCAGCCCTTTGCTAGGGAGACCCCCAGCAAATGACAACTGCAATGCAACTCACATGGCTCTACAGGCAGCTTGCTCAAGCCAGTAAACCTCCCTTCTCTTGAGGCCAGGAGTTTGAAACCAGGCTGGCCAAGATAACAAGAGCTCAACTCATATATATCTATATACACATACATACGTGTGTGTGTGTATGTGTGTGTGTGTGTGTGTGTGTGTGTGTAACTTAAAGTCTCTTGCCTTTATTCTCCAACCCAGGCACTGTGCCAGGAAGTCAAAGTTAGAGATGGTAAGACCCCATTCCATTTGTAAGGGGCTGGTCCAGCATTTGAACTCAAGTGTATGTCAAAGCCTCTCTCTTTTCAACTACGCCATACTGCATCCTCTTATCACATAGCAATATAATTACTTATCATTGTAATTGTTGTAGTTGTTAAAATTTATTTAACTCCAACTATCATAATAGGTGATTATCAGAGACATAAACCAGGGTGTAAAAATACATTATTAATGTCAAAAATATTTATTCGTATTAAATGTATTGTATATATTTATAATAAAAGTAAAATCGGTTATCTCTGGATGGTTGAGTGATGATCATTATCTTTTCTTATACTGTTCTGTATTTTGCAAAATTAAAAAATGAGATTGTATTGTGTTTATATTTTTTGAAAACTTATTTTTAAATAAAACAAATACATGTGAAAGTGCAAAACCATAAAGTGCTAATAAATGTCAGCTACTAAATTAATTGCAACGTAAGGAAATCCTCAAACGCCATGCATGAGGCTAGAAACACAGCCAGTCAACCTTGGTAGGTAACGGTGATCAGTACATCCTCAAGTAGGTACTCCCAGAGCCCAGGAAGACTGGTAATCCAGAGTTCACTGTGGCAGATGCGGTGAACCTTTCTCTTTGTCCAGAGAGAGGGGACAGAACATCGAGGCCGAAACACCGTTAGACATTTCAGTGTCTACAAAGTGGAAGTCTCTCATTTCTTCATTGGCAATCTCTCTTTCTCTGTCTCTCTCTCTCTCTCTCTCTTTTTTTTAATATATGGCGTCTCGCCCTGTCACCCAGGCTGAAGTGCAATGGCGAGATCTCAGCTCACTGCAACCTCTGCCTGCCAGGTTCTAACAATTCTCCTGCCTCAGCCTCCTGAGTAGCTGGGATTACAGGTGCACACCACCATGCCTGGCTAATTTTTTGTATCTTTAGTAGAGACGGGGTTTCACCATGTTTGCCAGGCTGGTCTCAAACTCCTGACCTCGTGATCAACCCACCTTGGCCTCGAAAAGTACTGGGATTACGGGCGTGAGCCACCACGCCTGGCAGCAATCTCTATTTTATAGAAGATTTTACTTTTTTATGTATAGAAATGCCCAATTATATTGTCCATATCCGTTATCAACCACCTTCCATCAAGGACTCCTGCTGGGAATTTGGTTTAAATGACACCACGCTTGTAAATGTGGGTCTCTAGCTCCTTGCACAGATGGACAATCATGAGCCTACTGCTGGCCCAGGCCCCCTGGAACATCTTCTGTAGGGCATAAACCTTCTTTTCCCTCCTTAGAAATGAACCTATGCTAATAAGCGTCCATTCTTCTTACTGCAACGAGATATAACACTTTCTTCTCATACTTACTGATCTCTGACCAATCACTTGTTTATAAGAAAAAAAAAAAAGAGTCCCTTTCCTTTGCAAAAAGGAGGCTTGGCTTTCCCTTGCAGCTCAGTAAGTTAAGGCAGGTGATAGAATTTTCTAGGAATGTCAGCCTAGCAGCTCTAGGCATTCACACTTATCACATATCAAAGTAGCAGAAGGAATATATTTCTAACTTAATACAAGTGTCCACCTAGACACTTATCTTGTTCGTGCATGCTTTCAAGTAGTATGCTTTATAGCTGTGAGGTAAAATAATATTTTACAGTGTGTTATGATTTCAAAGACACACTCAGTCTCACTTTTATCTCATTTAACCATAGCAGCAGCCCTATGGGAAACATATTACCTGCTTTGCAAGGAGGAAACTAGGTTCAGAAAGGCCACATGGTGAGTTCAAGATTACTGAGTCAGGACTCAATCCCAGATCTTTCGACTTCAAATGACAGGCAATTTCCATTGCTTTCCCAAAATTAAAAATTTGATCCTGGATTTCTCCTCCTACCAAGTGAATGTGTAGGATGGGAAAGACACTATTCTGCAGCCATCTACGGCAGAAAAGAGAGAAATCGTGGAGGAGAGAAGCTAACATCTATCGAGCTTCTACTCTATGTGGGCTGTTTTCCTTGCACTTTCTCTGTTCTGGAAAGGCTGGCCTTCTTTAGGACACACACGCACACACACACACACACACACACACACACACACACACACACACCTTTCTCCATGTCCCTCCAGTTCAGTTTTCTGTGTGACATTGGTGACATAATCTTCTCCTCCCTGGCAGGGTGTGTGCTGGTGGTGTCTGTGATTGAACAGCTCGCTCAAGTTCACAACTCGACGGTCCAGGGCGCAATGGAGAGACTGTGCAGCTACCTGCCTGGTAAATATGGGATGGGTCATCCTGCTGGGGGTCTGCTTGTCCTCTCACCCATGAGTCATCATCTCCGGCTTCACTTCCTGCCCATGCTTACAGAGAAGAATCTGATTGTGCTATTTCTGTGGGTTGATATTCTTATGGAGCTCATAGAAATTAAAACAAACAAAAAAATGCTCTAGGCAACTTCTCCCTGACATTCATTTTCCATCATGGCATAATAAAAGTGCTGTAGACACTTAGGGAATAAAATGTTGAATGGCCAATTGTTGTTTGATGTGTCACATTAATAATACTTTGCTTATCTACTGATCATTGCCTTAAGTACTAAAGTCAAATTAAAGAATAATTTTCAATAATTTTATGTTGACTTGACCAATATTCACATACCAAGATGCACACTTAGCCCTACCAACACAGAGCTTTGCGCTGGGAGGACAACTGATTTCAAAATTTCAAATGGGAAAATAACCTGGAACATTTCATTGATTTAAACTGGATCTCAATAAAGTCCCTTATACATCCACCAAAAGAAGAAACCGATTGGTGGTTCAAGCTAGTTGCATATTTGTTTTTCAATATTAGTAGAAAGAAAATATTAATTATATTTTCATTATAGAATACTGTTACTTGAACAGTCATAATGAATAAACTTTGTTGAGAGTCAAATTTTTATTCACTTAATGGGAACTGATTCATCTATGGCACCTACATTATTTTTTCTGTTAAGTAAGGTAGTTGGATTAATGGTAATTGTATCTTTGACACAGTACGCTGTGCCAAGAGCATCCAAGTCTTTTCAGAGAATTTATTCAACTTAGTCATAATATGCCTTCACAGGCTAAAATGTTTAGAATTCAAAAACAAGGACTGGGAGAAGACAATACACAACTACATGTGTGTAGAATGTCCAAACGAACCATTAAGATGTTAACATATTCACATCATAATTACATCTTCCTTTTGTGAAATTAAAACATGGCAGCTAAACTTGGAACCTTCAGCTTTCCCTTCTTCCAATTCCATTCTCCCCTGCCCCACCTCCCTAGAAGGAACCCTTCACATGAACTTAATGAGTATCATTCTTGTCAGATTTTATATTTACGCATTCACTTGTCTGAATTCATGAACAATGTATATTGTTCTGCCAGTAATCTTTTTTTGTTTTTCTTTGTAAAAACAAGACAAATGTAGAAAACCATGCAAACCAAGTGTATAGCTTCGTCAGTTGCTGAAAGATGAACGCCCTTGTAAACATAGCCCGGGTCAAGAAAGAACAGATCAATGGCCTCCCCTGGAGTCCCATGCAGCTGCCCCATCCCATCCTCCCCCTGCAAAAAACTTAATGTGCTGACTTTTATGGTAATTATTTTATTGCATTTCTTTATAGCTTTATCACTCAGTGGACACCCCATGATACCATAACATTGCCCACTATTTAAAATTTTGATGTGTCTTTTGAGCGATTTTAATCTGTAAGTTTCCTTTCTTTTTCTTATCATTTACCTGTGGAATTTGACCTGTAGAGTTTCCCACAGTCTGAAGGGTATTGATTGCATTCCTGTAGTATAATTGAGTATGTTTCTCTGTGCTCTGTATTTCCTGAAACTTGGCAATGACCGGAGGCTTGATCCTATTCCAGTCTGATTCCTTTGACAAGCCTATAAATGATATTTTCTTTCATCAGGAGGCAGGCATAGGTGGTTTTTCTTTTATCTTTCTTTTCTTTCTTCTTTTTGTTTGTTTGTTTGTTTTTAGAGACAGGGTCTGAGTGTGTCACCCAGGCTGGAATGCTCACTTTAGCCTCGACCTCCTGGGATCATGAGATCCTCCTGCTTCATCTTCCCAAGTATCTGGGACTACAGAGCATCACACCAGATAATTTTAAATTTTTTTGTAGAGACAGGGCCTCTCTGTGTTGCCCAGGCTGGTCTCTAACTCCTAGTCTCAAGTGATCTGTCTACCTTGGACTCCCAAAGCGCCAAGATTACAGGTGTGTTGTGAGCCACTGTGCCAAGACCCATTTTGTGATGGTAGCAGCTGTCGATGTTCAATGATGAGATCTATTAATTTATTGGGGTTTAAAATCTTTGATATCCTAATCTATTATTTCTTATTTATTAATTGACATATATTGGATGCTTTCTCACATTATATTTTAGAAACATTTTTCCCACAGTACCTAGTGCAAAGGCATCTAGGAAAGGCAGGATAAATGCTTGACTCTTTTCCTTTTATCAGTTTTCAAGGTAATGCGTTGGTTTTCTGTTATCATCTCACAGCAAGCAATTAGTTTTTCCTTAAAATGTCACGATAAACTTACGAACTTAAGCATACCTGATGGGTTTCAGTCAAGTGTAATTATTATCCTTTTGAAGCTCAGACAATCCCATTGAGCTTTGACCAGTGGCACCCACTGCGAGCTAACTCAAGTCCTTTTGACGTGAGCCTCAGTAACCTTCGATAGTTTCCTCACTAACTGATATCACAAGATGTTCCAGCCCTGTCTTGTACATTTCAAGCCACAGGCTTGAAATCAGTCATTTTTTCTCAGAAGACCTCGTTTCTTTTAGTGAGAACTAATGTTTCAAGACCACAAACCAGATGCTTAGGAATGTTCATTGTTACTGAGTTGGCCATTTTTTCTAGGCCTCTTCAGTGGACAGAAATAGGAAACCCATGTGTATACATTTATAAACGTCAGCTTTAAGATAAAACAACCAAGTTCATACTGACACTTCAAATTCAAATTCAGAACCACAAAATTTTTTTCTTAATGTCTTCTGTGTTGTATCTATATCTTCTTTCCACACAAAGTCCCAATTCTCAAGGACAAAGAGACTGATAGAATAAAAATCTCCAATCATTAGTCATTTGCCTATCCTTCCTTGCACATAAAATAGTCTCAGACTATCGATTCTAAGGCTACCATCATTAATACATTTTCTAATTCTTATGAGCAGTTAAAATTGGTTTTTTGCCTACGCCTTTCCCACCACCCTTTTTAATCATTGTTCTACATTATCTGAGCACATAGCCACTACATATAATATCCATTCCCTTTTCACCCTCATTTAGTCTTAGCTGCATCAGCAACTATATGATTAATGTTCACCACCAGCCCTTATATGAATGTCTGTCTAGTTGAGTTGTTGTCTAAAGTTCATTCCTCCAGAAGGGCTCGTAGGAACAAATATTCCTTGAATTCTTGCATGTTGATAACAGGCTGTCTGAGCCCTTTATACTCGAAAGTCAATGCTTTTCTGTATATAAAACTCCTTGGCACAGAATGTCTTTCCCTGAGCATCTTAAATATAATTTTCAAAAGCCTATTAATAATATGATTTACCTTGTCCTTACAAGTTATTTGTTGTTTATACTTTGAAGTTCAGAGGATTTTTTTTTTCTATAAAATTTAGTCATCTAACTGGAAGATAGTTTCGTGCCAGTTGTTGTGTATTGATGTTCTCAGGCATGCAGTGTGCCCTCTCAAGGTTATTTCAAATACATATTTTCTAATTTTAGGGAAGGTTTTAGTGTTTATTCAGTTTTCTTGATTTTGTTTTTTTCCTCTGGGATTTCTATTATCCACATTTTGACTCTTCTTTGACTGTCTTCGCTGTCTTACCTATCCCTTGAATTTATTTTAATCTCTTTGTTTATTTTTTATCTTAAAATTGTTCCTCCTTTCTACCTTCTGTTTCACTGAAGACCTCTTCTACTGTTTTCACTTGTTCTTGTGTTCATTCTAGTTTAGACTGCACTTCTTTATTTTTTGTTTCATGTTTTATTTTTTCCTGAGTTCTTTTATTCCATATTTGAGTTTTTCTAATTCTTATTCTTGCTATTTTTTCATGTCTTATATCATTTTATTAGTGCTTCTTAGCTCATTTTAAAATAATATGTTTAGAAATAATATGTTATGTTTTAATCCTTTTTTGGCATGACTTTCTGGCATGCTTTTACTATCTGTAGGGATGTTTTATTCTGTTCCTTAATCTTTTTCTTCTTATAATAACTTTGTATGGGAGTTGACCTAGATACATTTCTGTTGCTCATTTTTATGTGAAATTAGTTTGCAAAAACTCTTAGAAAGAGAGGTGGTTCCGCGTAGTTTTACTAAATGCACAGAGCTCCTTCTTCTGTTGTTTTGGAGTAGTGTTAAAAAAAATCGTGGCAGCTTGCTTTCTGAGATTTTTCTGACTGTTTCCCTATTCACTTTCATCTGAACTTTCTCTCTACCCGGCAGTTTCTCCTCAGTGTGGGCCTTGCCCTGGAAGGGAGCTCCGGTGGGTCCCTTGTGGGTGCCAGGCAACTCTAGCACCTAATTCCTTCTAGTCTTGAGCTCCTTGCGTTCATCAGCTATTGAGTGGGCAAAATCCTTCCTAGTCCAGCGGCTGTTCTCTAATTGGCCTGTCATGCTTGGTAGTCAACATCTGTCAGCTATCTGGGGAGTCTCCTGTTCTCAGTTTTATCTACCATCCATTGCTTCTCTCTACTTTCTCCCTTACAGAAGTTGGTAACCCATAGGTCTTGTGGTTGTGAAGTAGTTTATTCTCACCTAATTGCACGTTAGAGTTCATTGATATACCTAGTTTTGTTGTGACTGCTTTCTGTGGGTTTTGGGTTTTGCTATTCACGTACTCCTTTATTTTATTTATTTTATTTTTTTGGAGACAGAGTCTCACTCTGTCACCAGGCTGCAGTGCAGTGGTGCAACCTCGGCTCACTGCAACCTCTGCATTTTGGGTTCAAGCAATTCTCCTGCCTCAGCCTCCCGAGTAGCTGAGATTACAGGCACCTGCCACAAGGCCCGACTAACTTTTTTATTTTTAATAGAGACAGGGTTTCACCATGTTGGTCAGGCTGGTCTTGAACTGCTGACTTCAGGTGATCCGCCTGCCTCGGCCTCCCAAAGTGCTGGGGATTACAGGTGTGAGCTACCTCACCTGGCCACTCCTTTTTTTTTTTTTTTTTTTTTTTTTTTTTTTTTGGTAGAGAATCAA